AAAAAAAAAAAAGAAGTAGATGAGCTGCTTTTCATATCCATGGGACAAACTCTCCCTCATCTGGTAGATCTTAATCATGTGTCCACTGACCTAAGTCAGTGCAAACAATTAAAACTTTTTGCCCAAAATCTTCAAAACTTGCCCTAACTACTAACCAGAAGGGTTGCTGCAGTACTGATTTATCTCATCCTATATCATGGTCAATGAATGGTTAGAGACTGGACCAACGGGTGAATTCTAACAACATTTACTTAAAAAAGAATCTGGGGAGTCGGCACAGTGGCTCATGACTGGAATCCCAGCCTTTTAGGAGTTCCAGGAGGACAGATCCCTTGACCTGAGGAGTTCAAGACCAGCCTGGCCAACATGGTGGAACCCCACCTCTACATAAAATACAAAAATTAGCCAGGGGTGGTGGTGCCCACCGGGGATCCCAGCTAATTGGGATGCTGACGCAACAGTACCAGGGTGCTCCCTGCTCTTGATGGTGCCACTTACACATACCACAGGTTCTATTAGGAGCAGGGTCCCCTTTAAGCTCCTCACAGGAGATCCTGTGTGCTATCGCTGTGTTTCCCCCAGTGTCCACAGAACACAGCTTTGCCTACTGGACCTCAGCAGAAACCAGAACAAAATGGAAGTTCAGTAGCCTCAGACATTTTGACCAACTGACCAGATGCTACTCGTCTGCAAGATCTTGTACGGTACAGAGGCGATTGCTGTAAACACGGATTTAGCCTCTTGCTGAGAAAAACAAGTGGTTCTGTGCCTGTGTCAGAAATCAATAGCTGGCATTGTGACCCCAGTCCCATACCCACCTTACTGCCGACGTGGAAAAGTTGCTAAACACTTTTGCTTCAGTCTTCCATCTTTACCAAAATGTTAAAATACCCATTTCTATTTACTACAAGTATAGGAAGGATGAAATTAACTTTGATGAAGAGAACTGTTAATTTTTCAAAACAAGACAAGACATCACTGATCATTTTCGTGGTGGTCAACCTATAGAGCTTACTGTATGTCTTCTCCTGGTAGTTCAGGAAGTAGGCCACCTGACTCATAAGAAGTCTATTTTTGTTGGCTCCGACATTTGGTTTGTTTTCTTCCTGTTGGGAGCAGGATTTCTCAACGCCTTCTGGAATGTTCACCTCTGTGTTTTTTCTGGAAGAAGGCCTGCCAGATGCCACCATGTTGATGTTTCGGGCACGACACAGAAAGCCAGG